TCCGCACAGCTAGCATAGTGCCATGCCAGGCTTGGCCATGGCGTCTCAGAGCACCAGAGAGCACATGCACACAGAGAGCAAAAGAGCTGCCTCTCATGTGTCTGCAGGTGCTCAGGCACAGTAGTTTCAGCAGGCACTGTCTCAGAGCTGCCCATGACATTCAAACACAGCCCAGGCTGCTGGGTTATCAGACCTTTGGCAAGACTGAGAGATCACCTACCGATCCAGTCTGCCTCTTGGTGCCGGGGGAAGATGGAAAATATGATAGCTGGGAAAAGGTTCACATCACGAGTGCTAGAGTGACATTCCACATGCGGGACGTCCCTCCATGGCCAGCCTGATACAGCTCCTTCAGGTGTGCTAACACCTCATGAGGGCTGAGACTGGAGGCTGCACAGTCCCCTTCATCTGGAATGCCTGCCATCCTTCACTACCACTACCCTAAGCACACCCCTCAGTGCTGCGTGATCTATTGCTTGAGTGACAAGGTCTTCAAGTGGGTGCTAACCTGTAGACCAGGCTTTGCAAGAGATTCCAAAACCAGGGACACAGACAAGGACCTTGGAGAAACAGATGTGACACACTCTTTATTTGGAGCACATACTCTGGAGCAGTCAGTGGGGGTAGAGAGGTAGATTAAAAAAGTCTCTGCAAATGAAAGGCAGATTGGATTTTGGAAGTTCTGCCCTTCTCCAAGCTGGCTTGACAAATTCAGAAGCCCATGCAGAAAATTTAAGCCGTTTTTGTGAATGTTTTTATCTATCTCTCACTGTTCTGAAACAACTAACTCACAGAAGAAAACCAAACTGCAGAAAACTCTTGGTGACCCTAAACTTTCACTTGCTATTTATCACAGCCTCACCCCAGGGCCTCTGAGATTCTGGGCACTCGGAATAAAAAAGCTCCCAGAGAACGGCCAGAAAATCATGTCACAAGCACTTCCCTGAATCTCTCATGTAATCATCCTTCACTGCCTTCATTCCCTCCAAACTCCCTCTGCACACCTCACAAGCCATGAAGGCCTAGTCCCTAACTTTGGAGCCAGTTACCCTGGAAGGTCCTCGAGTCTGCTGCAGTGATTACCAGTAAGACTCCAAAGAGAAGAACCTCAGGAAAACCCACAGGCCTTCGTACAGCCAGATAAAGCTGCTCAGGATAAGGTCATGATCTCTAAATACACTGCTCCCCAGCCACTTTCCTTTGGATCATTCAATGAAAACCAAAAACTAATCTCCTTTCTCAACTTCTGTTGCCTTCAGCTGTTCCAGCAGCAGATTTCTAGAGCGAATGGGCCTGTGCGGCGCCCTCTCTTTAGTCAATATTCCTCTGGAGCACCAATAAAACGACCATGAATGTATGTGCGTACCACCCACAACACCACACACACACACACACACACACACACACACACACACACCTACATCTCTCTTGAAGGGCTAGAAGAAGGGGAGGGGCAGCCAGGATGGGATTGGCCCAGATCACTGGCTATTTGAAACTCAAACACATGGCCCAGGACCTACCCTGCACGTGTTAATTACCACACATGTGCCCATAAAGGAGTCCGTTAAACACAAGGGGCCCAAAGAACAGAGAGAGGAAAGGACATTCCAAGGGATTAAGTCTAAAGTCTGACCCTCCTCCCCTGCTGGAGCACCTGCATCTGGGTAAGATAACAGTGCCTCCCTCCCCTTCCCCCACCTCTCCCCTCCCGGCCTCACACCTGTGGACCCAGGAACTGCAGGGACCAGGCCTCCCTTCCAGGGCCAAATGCCTGCGACCTGCTGCCTCCTGGCCTCGCTCCCTCCTATCTTCCTCCTGCTATCTCTCTGGGCCTCCTCCCCCAGCCTCCTTGCACCCAGCCTTTCTCTTCTTCTCCTTCAGAGGACTAATTCCTGGCTGGCAACCAGACTCCATGGTCGCACAATACATCTTTTCATTCCTTCCAAGCAGAGAGAACCGATCCCTCCCAGCCCTGTCAGTGGAGCATATTCACAAACGCAAGTGCATAGAGAGAGAAAAGGCTGGATCTGGTGCCGGCCCTGCTGCCACCCCACACCCACACCCGCACACCCCCAGGCCCCTGGACTCACCTCCTTTCTAGCCCTACACTGTCCTACACCTCTCTCTGTGGCAGGCTTCAGGGCTGTGTGCTCCAGCCCTAGGGGATGCCTTCCAGGAGGGCCCACATGTGGGCATGAGCTCAGACAAGGGGCCTTTGTATCTTCCCACCTGCTGCCCTCCAGAGCACATTCCATTCCTAAGTGGCAGCTGAAAGAGGAACCTCCGGCGGCCGACACAGGATATTACGAATGCCCTCTCGCACCCTGTCCCCATCCAAACCCCAGCTTCCTGGACAGGTGTGGCTTCAGGTGGCCCTTCCTACAGGTGCCCAAACCTTCTTTTCATTGCACTGCCCATGGCAGACTAAGAGGAGAGGAACCAGTGCCTAATTTGATCTCCAAAGTAGAGGAAAAGAGAAACTGCTGGGCAGAATTCAAGTGTCTAGGGGGGAGTGAGCCCTAGCCTCCTCCAACCCCAGCCTCCCCTAACACCAGCCTTGTCCTGATTTTTGCACCAAAAAGGAAGCATCTGCAGAACCACCTAGGAGGGGCCCATCTAGAGCAAGGGAGCGCAGAGCTGGGAACTGACAGAAACCTGCCCCTCTGAGCTGAGGCTTTAGCTTCTACTCCCTCCTCTGATTTCCCTAGAGCACCCCTGAGCAATCAGACCCCTCTGCCTTCTTTCAGCTCTGGTAGCTCACTCCACAGCTGAGAAGGAACAAAGGGGATCCACTACTGTTCATTGTAAGCCAACGTTCCCAGCCCACCTGCTCGCTTCTAGTGGGTCAGTGAGCACCTAGGATGACCACAGACCTGTCTCTCATTGTCATTTGTAGGGTGCAAAGACATGTCAACCTAGACACCATTTCTCCATCCAGTGTATGAACCAAAATCCTAGGGGTGTCCTATATATAGTCAGATTTTCCTTTTGGGGGAAAATCTGGGTGCTGGTTTTGCATGATTGCTCTTTTTTCCCCCATTACACCAGGACCTCATGCCCAAGAACAAAGGTGGCATTACTGAAGACTTCAATTACAGCAAACGAAACTGAAGGCAGCTCCCCTTCCCACCCCCCATAGACACATGGCCTTCACAAGTCTTGGCAGAGAGAGACGTTCATGCCTTTGTCCTCACTTTCCCACCTGGAAGGGACCATTAACACTCCTAGCTGTCTCCCCCGCTCTGGGAAGGGGTGTGCTCCTTCTTCTCACCCACTTACACGTTCCTGCCTGAGGAAGAGGAACAGCCTATTGGATTCACCGGTCCATGTGTCTTTGTGGGTGGTGATATCACCATGTGTCACTGCCACATCCTGGAGCGCCTGAATCTGGAGGAAGTGGGTCCTCCAGATTCTAATCTGCATTCAAAGTACTGGGTGTACTTTTTCTTCTCGTCCCTTTGGCAAAAGCATCTGGGGTAGGGTCCAGGGTCTTTCCTGGTCTCCCTGTAACTGTGTATGCAGGATAAGCTCGTGAACTTCACACTGACTCTCAGCAGACCCAACTCGCCACATGGGCTTTATGTATAAGTTGTCCCCGAGGCCTCCATGCATGTGGGAAGCCTCAAACTCTGACGTGAGAGTTCTGGAGTGTCTGCACAGGCAGTGAAATGAATACCTGCTCTCCATTCCGCTACCAGCTCTTGCTTTAGGCATGTATGCTGTCCTGCAGTAAATCTTAGGCCTCAAACTGCCTTCCACGCTGGAAACTATGGTCAGCATATGCCAGGAGCCTATTGGTCATGTTGGCTGGTCCACTGAACAGCACTCAGATATGCACTCAGATAAATGTAAATGGATGCCATTTCTATGAGTGCTGTTATATATATGCTAGTTCCCTATCGTGTGGGCCCAGTGTCAAATGGAGATGAAGAGCCCTTTGTTTCAATAGCAAGAAAAGAATGCTCTGAAAGACACTGAAGGGACCAGCAGTTGGTGTAATGGCTATGTCACTGGATTCCCATGTAGTTGACCGCGGTTCAAGTTCTGGACCTGATGGCTTAGACTCATGCTGGGCGCGTGTGCGTGCGTGCCCAAGATCCCAAGAGGAGAATGGAGGAGAAGGGATTGCGGTGTGGCCATCCCCACTGGGGAGTGATTTCTTGCTTTCTGTCTCTCTCTGTCTTTCTGGTGAGCGCATGCGCCCTATAGCAAAAACCTCTCAAAATATTAAAAAAGAAAAAAGAAAGACACTGAAATATAAAGCTTTATCCTATCATCCAGTTTCTCTCTCTTGATTTGTCATGAGTTTTTAAAATGTGCTAGTCAACATTATTCTATGTACATAAAAATGAAAATTCAAAGCATGTTACGGAAGGCATATGGCATGCATCAGAAAAGCTAGATGGTAATGGGGGGACAAGGTGCAGCAGATACTCATATCACACATATCTCCCCTGGTCACATGTGAACCTCATTGTCCAGTCAAATTCAAAGACAAAATTACTCAGAATTTCAGAATAACTGTACTGGGTACAGTGAAGCCAGCCTAGCCTTAGCAAAGAGAATCTGGATGTGCTAGAACAGTTATTAAGGAGAAAAATGGGAATAAAATACTACAATGGGTTTACAAAACAAGAGAGCAAGACCAATTTGGGTGTTCCTACTTCAATCATGCTCTTTGGTTTATTGCCGGCTACATTGGTGGCCGATAGACTGAACTCCCCAGGGAACCGAAACTCTCAGGGCTTACATAAAGTTCCCTGCCACCTTTGCACTCTGCAGTCACTCACCTCCCTCAGAAATTCTGGAAGCTTGTTCTCTCCCACCATATGAACCTTACTTACCTCTGATGCTTCTAGGAAGAAACAGAGGAAGAATGGAGAAGAACTTCTGCTGGGTGCTTTAAGCTTTCACCCTAAGCTCCTTCTATCTTGTCTAAGAATCCAGCTTGGACTGGCTTTAGAAGCCAACATTTAGATAAAGCATAAAACTCCACTCACCTTTCCTTCCTGAGTTACCCTGGCTCAAGGGCTTGTCGGTAACTGAACCTTGGGTGAGAGAAAAAAACAAAAACATAGTCATTCAGAAAGAACTGTGGTTGGTTTATTTCAAAGAGTTGCCAAAGCCTAATGTTATGAGCACATGGTTATAAATAGACTATACACACATCTAGGGATATTATAATACAAATTTAGTACATATATACATGTCAAGTAAGGTTTGCTTAACATCAGTGTCACTGATAACCCAGCACTGTTGAGTGGAATTATGATTTCCAGGTTCCCTGGCAATGGCCTTGACCAAGTTTTTACAAAATTCTACATCCGCCTAACTCTTCTGTTGAACATTCCAGTAACTGCCCCTCACTTTCACACCCCCATCTCCTCCATTTCTCACCAACTCCACATTCTGAGCTATATCCCGTCAACAGGGCCAACCAAAAAGAAATCCCCTCTTACTGCAAATGCAGTGATTGACATCCCTTGCTGGTGAGGGCAGGAAATCAGCAATTTTCCATCTGCATTAAGTAGAAAATTGTTGGTCCAATTGTACTGAATGGGCCAAAATAGTCTGAGGCATGGAAGCAATTTTCTAGGCACAGCCTGTTCCTCAAGAAGGGGGTAGCATGTGTGTTTTGCCAAACATTTGCCCTGCGTGTCCTGGGATGTCATGTGCACCCCATGCTCCAGTCCTGACCCTTGGCACCTGTCTTCTCCACGAAGCCTACCCCCACACATGCAGAGCATATTCAGCTCATCCACAGAAAGGCTTCGATGGAGGTCCCACCAATGAATGCAAAGAAGGCATCCATATTTTCCTAATCTATATCATACTTTTTCAAATACTAGTGTTGTGAAAATTCAATTATATTCTCCTGCATGGCTTGCTTCTAGAACATTTGTTTGCTTTACATGAAACTTTCCAGGTCATTTGCAAGGCGGGCTAATTCCTGCCTTTCCCCATCCCAACCCTAATTAAGGTTTCCAGTTTCCATGTAAACCACAAATAAAGTAAACTTCCCTTTTTGGTCTGCTAACTTGGGTTTCCTGATGCAGATTCTTAATGCTCTTTCCATTTACTTTGCCCTTTATGTAGAAGGCCAACAGAAAAATAAATAAATTTGAAAAAAAGAGGAAAAATTATGATAGCAACACTGCTTTTGGAATTTCTCATGGGCTTTAGCATAATGTTTTATATTTTATTAGTACTTAAAAATAAGTAAATAAAGCGCTATACACAGATATGATGTGCAGATGGGTGGGATGGGCTTTTGTGAGTGAGGGCTGAGCCACACGGTGAACTGAGGGAGTCACTCATGAGTCTTGCCACCTGAATTAAAGGGGAAAGTGTGGGGCTTGTGTAAATCCACAACCTCATGAAATTGACCCTCAAAGCAAAATTTCTCTATGCTTATAAAACTGAAATAGAAAGGACTTACCTTGCCATGAGTTAACCCAACAGATCACTACATAAGCCATGGTTTCATAACATGTCCTAACATGTCTAATCATCAGAACCACTGCATAAGCTTCATAAACATATCAACTTTGGGTCTCACTCCAGACCTACTAGATCAGAATATACAAGAAGCTTCAACATCTGTGATATTTTTAGTTCCCTAGATACTAATGATGATCGGCCAGATTTAAGGACTACTGTTAGTTAAGGGAAGTTTTTCATTATATTACTTTGTTCAGGGGTTACAAATATATGGCACAGAGGCCACCACTCTCCTCTCCTACACTCATGTCAGACATAACTAATGGATTGCCATAACCTTTGATGTTGAACTCCCATACAGTCTTGAAATCTGTCTCAAAAGATCACTTCAAGAACCAGTAGAAATCAGTTTCAACACACAAGCTAAAAACTGACATGTCCTCCCAGCTCTAGCAAAAGAGCATTGAACCAGAAATCTAAACTCAGAATAAATAAATATAGGTACATGGACATAATTCTGACTCTCCTCACCCACTGACTGAGCAAGCATGTTATACTCAAATCCTCTCTGATCTCCACCACCACCAACCTTGTAAAGGCTCCCCCACAAGCTGCAGGAGACCAATCAGCGTGTCTCTTGCCAATCTTTTTTCATTCTTCCCTCCCCTCCCTACGGTACCTGAACATACAGGAGTTTTATTCTGCACAGAAGAGCCACTGATGGGCTTCCCATCTGGGGTGACACACCAGCAGTACCCCGTGTAAGTATGGCACTGCACCTGTTGAGAAAAGTAGGAGAAAAGAGACATATAAGCCTTGAGTCACAACATCAAAAGTCATTTCCCACCCCTTTCAGAACATTGCCATATAGCAGAAGAACTTCTTCCACTTCTCATTCCCACATCTGCCTCCAAAGAGTCCTTCACAGGTGGGTCAGGCAGTCAACAGCATTGATCAGGGTTTTTTACCCCCCCCCCCGGGAAGCCACACACGTATCAGCTTCTTTCCTATGAGCTAATTCTTAATGAAAGTCTAATATCCTACTGAGATATAGCCGTAGTGTCTTTGCACTGGCATACACTCCCACCCAATTGTAAAAACATTTTGATTAGTGAACTGATTCCAAGTACAGTTGGTAGGTCAACATGATACTTCTTTAACAAGAAGAGATAAATGGTAAGCTTCCCTTGTTTTCTTAGTTTTTCCAAAGAGATCAGCCTGCCTGATCATGTAACTCTCCTGAGATGAGGGCACACATCACAGAGGTGGCTAGAACAAATTCACTTGTGCCTGCAGGTTCAGTTTCTAAATGCCCCTCAAGTTTTCATGATCAGGTCACCTGACTGGGAATAGTGAGTAAAAATTATGTTTCCTGGGACCGGCAATTGGAGTAATGGACTCCCACGTATTCAGCCACAGTTTGGGTCCCGGACCTGGTGGCTTAAACTCATGCTGGGCGAATGCGTGTGCATGCCCAAGATCCTGAGAGGAGAATGGAGGAGAAGGGATTGTGGTGTGGCCATCCTCTCTGGGGGGTTATTTCTTACTTTCTGTCTCTCTGTCTTTCTCTGTCTTTCTGGCAAATGCATGCACCCTATAGCAAAAACCTGTCCAAAAAAAAAAAATGATGTTTCTTTATACCCTTCAGGGTAACTCTTATTTCTCCTCCAATAGTTGTCACTCTACCCATCTCCCATCCCACCTACTATCCTCTTCCCATCTTCTTCCTATACACAGCCCCTAAACACACATCAAGGCATACTTCTCTGATTAAAACCCTCAATGATTTGCCTTCAGATTCAAGATAAAAATTAAATTCATTTGCATGGGGTTCAAGGTCTTCCATGACCTGCCTCATCTAACTCTACAGGCTCATTTCATACCCATGTCTACACCACACTCTCCACTCTGACCACAATAAACCCTTTCATGCTCCAAAATATATATGAATTTCTCATGATTCTGAAGCTTTGTTTGCTCTAACTATTTGATTTGTCTGGAATACCATTCCCCAGTCCATCCCCACTTATAATCCCGCTCTATTCCCACCCTATTTCACAATACACCTTCTCCTCAAAGCAGTCTGCTATGGTTTGAATGGGTCCCCTCGAAATCCATGTGTTGAGGTTTGGTACCTATTATGACAGTGTTAAGAGAATGGAGACTTAATCCAACTGTAATATTAAGAGTTGGAGCCTTTAGTCAACACCCCCTAGTGCAACAATTAAGTGCTGTCCGCAGGAAGCAGGATCCCACATGGCCAATGATGGTTCCAATCCCAGACCCAGAGACTTGATGAGGCAGAACCTTTGGGAGGTGATTAGGATTAGATAAGGTCATCAGAGTTAGGTTCCCATAATTGAATCCTGGTAGCTTTATAAGAAGGAGATAGATCAGGGCGGACACAGAAACATGGCCACAGACACATACAAGCTATTGCCATGTGATGCCTTCCACCACCTTTGGACACCAAAAAGTCTCCACGGATAAGAAGATCTTCACCAGATGCACTCCATTGATTTTGGACCTCCAAAATTGTGAGCTAAATAAACCTCTATTATTAAATTACCCAATGTGGTATTCAGTTGTTACAAAAAAAACAGACTAAAACACAGTCCCAGTCTCCTTGCCTCCCCTTCCACTTTTCTTTTATTCTCTGCACACCCCGGATTCCCCATTTCTAGAACCCTTATCACAGTGAACTCTAGTTGTTGATTTTTCTAGTCCACCCCCCACCAGACAATGACGTAATATTAGCTATTTCTAGCATTTCTAGCATATTTTAGCAGAATGTCTGACATTCATTGCAGGTGATCAATGGGTTGAATACAGACGGGAATTATCATATTTCCTTAATTCTTGGTCTACACCAATTTTAAAAATGCAACATCAATATAAACAGCCCCACCACATTAAACATAGATCTCAATTACAAGATGTGTGCCAATGGCAAAGATATTGAAGTATGAAGAAATGTGCCTCTTGGGATCAAGGACATAGTGAAATCAGAGCGTACAGTAATAGCATACAAATTGAGAGGCTCGGTACAGAAAAGCACAGAGGAAAAGAGAGATCTGATAGCCTGGGTGAAATCCAGAAGTTATCACTGAGGCAGAAAAGCTACAGAAGGGCTTTTGCTCTTGTGTGGGTTATGAAACACTGTAATTTCCCCCAAGTTGTTTCACTGTGGACCACCTCACAAAAATAAGGTTAAGTAAGATGGAAGGACCCTTGTTCGTACCAATAAGCTTGCTGTATAACTGAGGCGTTTACCTCTACCACTTATGCAAGGAAACTGTATTCAGAGCCTTTACCTTAAAACCACATTCTACTACTTCATTGTATGGCCATGGTTGCTATCCTAGATGCTCACCCAAGATCAATACCTTGGGTTGGATCAGTGCTACCTTCTGAGGAGGCTAATGATGGCATGGGAAGAAATCCAGACAGATCTGGGTTGGAACATGGGTCTAGCTGGTTATGGACTAGACATGTTATTTAGCACTTTGAGCCCCATCCATGAAATGGGAATAACAATAAACCTGGAGGTGCCTGACACATGGCAAAGGCTAGTTACAGAGAGGCTACAGCAAAAACTGTTCTGAGTTGTGTCCAAAATCCCTTTGGACACAACAAGCCAGCCTCCTCACAGGCCGGAGCTCCTCGTAACCTCCAGAGGTTTGGTTGGGAAACAGTGCTGGAAGCAGAATGACCCTTCAGCTCTGCAGGGGATATTTCCTAGAAATGATAACCTGCCAATGGCTGCACGTTAATGGGGCTTGGCTGACCACTTTCTCCTCCTTGGCCAATAATAACCTCTGGGGAAATCTGATTTGGGGCCTTGACTCCACGGTCAGGGCCAGCCTCTGTCTCCATGAGGATTATGTCCCTGAGGCCAGTGCCTGAGGTGGTGCCTCTGGCCTAGTGCTGCACAGCTGGAGCTGGGCCCTGTGGACAAGCAGGGTGCAGATAACAGGCTGGTTTGAAAGCCCCTCCTCTGGGACAGGCACAGAGTCCCAGCTAAAGCTTTGTTTCAAGGGATATAATCTGACCTTTGGTCTCAGAAAGTCCCAAGAGCCACTTCTCACTGAGTGCACCCATTGTATCCTTGGGGTCATGTAGACCTTGCCTCCCAGCCCCCAGCCAGGCCCAGAGGCTCAAACACAGCTCCTTTCTCCCCAAGGCCTTCAGCATTTTCTTCAGTCTGGGCTCCAAGGAACAGACCTCAGATTACAAAATCTTCAGGCTGGTAGCTCCTTCCAAGTTCTATAAAACTGAAATGAAATGAGGAATGGTTCCCACATTCCTCTGAGGCCTAGAGGACAGAGTCATGGGCATACCTGACACGTATGTGCTGCAGAGGCGGGGCAACTGTGAGCAAAAGAAGGTGCACAGGGCAGTGCACAGGGACCAAGCAGAGTCTCAGACTGCAAGAACCACAGGAAGTGGCAGCAAAATCCCTTTGCTAAAGAAGTCTCGAGTTCTTCAGCCCATGTTTCTAAATTCAGAGGTTGTTTTTAAAAAGTCTTAGGGAGTTTTCAAAATGTCTTCTTGCAGACAAATAAGTTACATGGAGATAGACTACAGGCCACCCTCTTTAACTTCCCAGGTTCACCACTGAATTCCTTCTGCAGCCTTGGGAAGCTTCTTATTCAAACCAAGCCTCAGCCTGTCTGCATCTATTTAAAAAGGGAGGAAGATAATAATAATCATAATGATAATAATACTCATCTCAGTTGTTGGGAGAATTTAATTAGATAATGTAAATAAAGTTCTTAGCTCACAGGGTAAGTGCCCAGTTAAACTTCACTATTTATTTTTACTATCATTGGTTTTTTTTGTTTTTGTTTTTTTTTTTTTTTTCTGAGCAAACTGTACACTCAAAAAAGCCAGAGACAGATTATCTGATGGAGACCAAAGAACATCCTATTCTGACCAGTCTAAAGGAAAGGGACAGTTTGAAAACAACAAAAAGTTTGACAAAGTTTGGGTGGAAGAAGGGGACATTTGTTTTCATATAGAAAGCATTCCACTACCAAGGAGAAAAGCCAGAGTTCTTGCAGAAAAGTATTCAGGGTGTAAATTCTACAGAGTTGATGGTTTACATATCCACACTCAAGATGTAAATTCTACCTGGTTTAGCTTCCTCTTTTGAAAACTTCTTTTAAAATAAAAGGGATACTCTATTTCTCCCTGAGAGCCTCAAATTGATTGACTCTCAGACTTCACCTGTGGGAAAATCCTGGGTCAAGAGGAATTGAGGAGGCAACTGGCCATTTTTAATACCTTGTTGTGCAACTTTCAAAACTCAGGATTGTGCTGGCCCCAAAGATACAGATATAAACTGTGGAATTTGCTCTCACCCATTCTGGAGCATCCTAGGAAGGCTGAAGTGTCAACACATGACCTTCTTTAAGGGACAAAACATGTTTGGTCATCAGCTAAAGTGAGGTTCTTTTCTGCTTATATTGTAACGATACTGTTAGAGATAACTGGTGTTCCTGAAGGTACTTAAAAACAGTATGTTCTTAGATAAGTAAGTTTCATCTCTGACTCATACACTTTAATATTTTTGGCAAGAAGCCCTTTACATAAACAGCCCAGTGGTATATTTCAGGTCAACCTCTGTCCAAATTAAGACAAATCTGAAATTATTTAAAGCCTGCTAATCTTCAACATTAGCCCAAATCCCAGACATCTGGAAGAATGTGGGAGGCTAGCAATCCCCCAAAGGCATCTGAGTGGCTGAGGAGTGGAAAGGAAGACAGAAAACAGCTCT